TGACAAACCCACAACTGGTGACCCCGACGTCATTGACTACGCAGAGACGGAACAGCACGTTTCAGTTTGAGAGAGAAACTGCATCCGGATCCCCATAAATCTCATCCCGGTAAGGGAACAGCAACGCCCGCTTGGGATAGTTGCCAACGTGCCCAGATTTCAGCGAGAGCCTTGTTTTCCTTTCTCTTTCTTACTATGGGTCAACAAATGTCTAAGAAATAAATGATTTGCCTCCGCACGTTGCAGCAGCTGCTGAAAGAAAGCAGCTCACTGCACCGTGTCGGAAGAGCAACTTGTTAAATTGTTACGAATGGTACAAGAGACTTGTCCCTGGTTTCCAGACCATGGAACAGTCGATTTAGAACTCTGGGAACGGGTTGGTAAGAATATAAAACTTAGACATCAGCAAGGGGAAAAAAATCCCCAGGTCCATTTTAACTACTTGGAGTTTGGTACGCACTGCTTTATGTCCCTTGTATTTTTCCTCGCAGAGAACCTGAATCCCGTTCTCCCCTTCCTCTCCTCCTACTTCTTCTCCCCCAGTCCTTCCTATGCCGTCTGCCTCTTTTTCACAGGAGATCAATCTGCCGTTGCCACCGCCTCCCCCTACCTCTCCTGAGGAGTATGATTGTAAACAAACTGCTACGGAACAATGTTTTAAAGAAGGCTTACATTTGGGAGAGCTATGTTTACCCAGTGATTGCAGGGCGTGGGCAAGGTGTAAAGTATGAGGCTGTCCCTTTCTTGGTTTTCAAGGAACTAAAAACTAGTATTATTGAAAATGGGACTCAAAGTTCATTTACTAAAGGTATTCTTGATACGGTTGGAAATGCATATGTTATGACTCCATGGGATTGGAGAGCTCTTGTAAAAACTGTCTTAACTCCTGCTCAATTTGCTGTTTGGTCTTCCAAATATCATGAAGGTTGTCTCTTACAAGCTGCTCGTAATGCTAATGCTAGTATTGATATATCTGTAGAAATGCTTGAAGGAACAGGTCACTATGCCAACACTCAGCAGCAGACCCATATGGATAGGCTGGCTTTTAGGCAATGTACTGATATTTCCCTAGCGGCGTGGTGTAAGGTTCCCGATACTAAAGCTGCTACTGGCTCCTTCATTACCATCCGACAAGGCGCCACAGAACCTTATGTTGATTTTATTAATCGCTTAGAACAGAGCATCTCTCGCCAAGTAGAGAATCAGGAGGCAGCAAAAGTGCTCTTACAACAGATGGCCTATGAAAATGCTAATGCAGATCGCCAGGCAGCTCTTGCCAGTATTCAAACTTAAAACAAAACTATAGCCGACTATAAAGAGCTTGCCAGAATGTGGGAACTGAAACCCATCATGCTCAGGTCCTTGCAGCTTTAATGAAATCCCCTTCTGCTGTGACCTGCTTTAAGTGTGGTAAACCTGGCTGATCCATCATTATATGGATGACATTCTTTTAGCAGCTCCTTCGCAGACACAACTGATCTCCGCTTATAAATTTCTACAGTCCTCTTTGGCTTCTTTTGGGTTACAGATAGCTCCAGATAAAGTGCAAATTGAACAACCCTGGAAATATCTAGGTTACATTGTTTTCCACCGAACTGTCCAGCCTCAACCTATTCACTTACAGACAGAAAATCTACAAACTCTTAATGATTTTCAAAAAATTTATCAGGGCCATTAACTGGATTCGTCCAGTTCTTGGCATCCCTACAGGTCAATTGTCTCATTTGTTTAATACCTTAAAAGGGGACCCTGCTTTAGACTCCCCACGAACACTAACTCTGGAAGCTTTACAGGAAGTCGCTCTTGTGGAGCAAGCCTTGTCGCAAAAGCAGCTTTCTCATCGACAAATTGGAAATCCTGTTTATCTATTTCTTTTTCCAACCCTTTACTCTCCCACAGGTCTTTTAGGACAGCTGATTAATGGATTAAGGTGCCTTGAATGGATTTTCCTACCTCATTCCTTTAAAAAAAACTTTAACGAACTTTAACAGCTTATACTCAACAGCTTACAAATTTGCTCTTCAAAGGACGACTTCGCTGTCAAAGGCTAACTGGTTATGACCCTGATGTTATCGTCCCTGGAATTTCACTGGAAAACTTTAAGGATCTGCCACACCCTGGATAGCAGCCTCCACCTGGGAAGCAAGTAACATCTCTTGGGGCGAGATAAAGAAATTAGATTCTCAGGCCACTAATGTCATGAGGGAGGCAAAAGTGCCTCCCACTCCAAAATACAGCTTTCTGGCATATCTAGCAGTAATTTCTCATGCATCAGCTCAGGTATTGTTGCTTCTTTTACTCTTTATATCGCTTCTTTAAGTACAGGGGCCCATCTATACTGGGCCCATATTATTCACCCTCCAGTTTTCCAGCCAGTCACTTGGTGGGATGCAGACCCCCCAACTCAGCACTAATGATACTCAATGGGCTGGAGGAGTCTGGCTCCCTCCTCAAAGTCACCTGTTAGAAAATCGTGATTGGATGATGTTAAATGAAACTGCTTCTTTTATCTCCTCTTCCCCCCGCCCCAATTTGTGTGTCTAATGTCCCTTTATCCTTTGACTTACATGCTAAGACCTGTACTTATTTGTACTGTTTACCTAAGACTGGCACAAAACCTGCTAACTTAACTTTAGTTTTTGCTGCAGCTTTTGACATTAATCAAACAACGTCTGCAGCCTTTCCTCCGCCTGTTGCTCGTTGTCATATGTCTAAAGAATGGAGTCCTCATACTCAATCCGTCTCTTGGGTCCCTTGCAGGGCACCCAGTCCCCGTGGAGCCCCACTTTTTAACTACACAGTCTATGGTTGGGGCCCACAAGGATATCTTTCTGCTAATCATACTCGTATTGGTTTTGGCCTTCTGGCCACCTCTCAAGTAACCTGGACAGATGGGGGACTCTCTGGGCCTATTTTACGCCTCTCTAACTCTCATGCCCATAGTCCCTGGAACATTAATCTCTGCCGCATTGCTTTGCCTTTCTTTCCCAGGACTCTATCACATGGTACATATGTTACTAACACAGTTGTTAATACTCAGTTTTATCGTATTGATGTAGACTCATGTATCCAATCATGTATTATTGTGTACTACTCACCCTTATGTTTTTCTTATGACATCTTCTATCCTTAATGTTACATTAGAAGATGGATTTTATACTACCCATGTCCGGCCTCCGGCCTGGTACACTTCCTGTATTAGCCCAATGAACATTACTTCTCAGTATCTCACAGGTACTCATTCTAAAGTGACAACCTCAGATTTGACTACCTGTTAATTTAACCCGCCCCTGGGAGGGCAAAATTGGTTTTGTTAAATGAACTCATGCAATTTCAAAGTGGGGACCAAAACGCTTTATTGGTTAGCTGATTGCTTTTATCATCTCAGCTGTTACTCTTGCCACTGCTTCAGTAGCAACAGTGCCCCTTACTAAATCAATCCATACCGCTCTGGTTGTTAATCATGTTATGACTAATGTTACTCAGGCTATGATAACTCAGACTCAAATTGATGATGGAATTATGCGTTGGCTTCAGGCCTTGGAAGCTGCTTTGGAATGGCTTGGTGACTGACAACATTGTTGTTGATTGCCAGCCCCTGCAGTGTGATTGGCAACATGATAAGATACATGTTACTCCTCTTAAATATAACCACTCCCAGTATTCTTGGGAAGTTATTGAAAAACAACTGCAAGGAGTCTTTTCTTCTGATTTACAAAATAATGTTGATACTCTTTTTCCCCAGCTGCATCAGCAACTCATTTACATTCAAAAGGAGACTCAAACAAATATGGGACAGGAATTACATAATATAAAATGGCTTAACCCTGCCAACTGGTTTAATGGCCTCAACCTCCGCATCTGGGTTATTGTTGGATTTTGTGTAGTAATCGCTTGTGTTTTTCTTACAGTCTGCAAGGTAATTTACTCCCTCCATGCCTCTTCAAATCAGCAGCGCCAGGTGATGATGTCCCTTCTGAAATCAAGAATGATCCCTTTCAATCAAAACAAAAAAGGGGGATATGTGGGAGCCCATGATTGGGTTAACAAATTGTAACAGACCCCAG